TGGGATTGTAAGCTGGTACATCCATTCTGGAAATCAGTCTGGCAGTTCCTCAAAAAATTGGAAATAGTTCTACCTAATGATCCAGCTATACCACTCCTGGCCATATACCCAAAAGATGCTCCAACGTATAACAAGGACACATGCTCCTCCACTGTGTTCATAGCAGTCTTATTTACAATATCCAGAAGCTGGAAACAACCCAGATGTCCCTCAACAAAGGAATGGATACAGAAAATGTGGTACATTTACACAACGGATTACTACCAAGCTGTTAAAAATAATGACTTTATGAAGTTCTACATCAAATGGATAAAACTTGAAAATATCATCCTGAGTGAGGCAACCTAGAACACATATGGTATGTACTCACTGGTAAGTGGATATTAGCCAAAAAGGCTCAGAATACCCACAATACAACTCACAGACCATATGAAACCCAAGAAGAAGGAAGGCCAAATTGTGGATTCTTCAGTCCTACTCAGAAGGAGGAAGAAAATAATCATGGGAGGTAAAGGAAGGGAAGGATCTGAGAGGGAGAGAGGAGGAGGGATGGGGGCAGGAGCAGATGTGGAAGGAAACAGGAAGAAGTACAGAGGGTCAGGAATTTGAACAGGGGTGTATAGCAGTGGGTGATGGGGAACTGTGGGTAGCCACTAGAAAGTCCCAGATACCAGGGACCTAAGAGGTTCCCAGGACCCAACAGGGATGACATTAGCCAAAATATCCAACAAAGGGAAGATCAAACCTGTAGAGACCGTATCTAGTGGATAGGCATGGCCCCTGGTTGATGGATGGGGCCACCTATTCATCTCAAAAATATTAATCTACAATTGCTCCCATCAAAAGGAAATGCAGGGGCAAAGAGTAGAGCAGAGACTGAAGGAAAGGCCATTCAGAGACTGCCACACCTAGGGATATATCCCATCTGCCGACACCAAACCCAGACACTATTGCTGATGCCAAGAAGTGCTCCCTGACAGGAGCCTGATATAGATGTCTCCTGAGAGGCTCTGTCAGAACCTTACCAATACAGATATAGATGTACACAGTCAACCATTGGACTGTGGGGACCCCAGTGGAGTAGGGGAAGGACTGAAGGATCTGAAGGTGTTTGCAACCCTGTAGGAAGAACAACAATATCAACCAACCAGACCCCCCAAAGCTCCCAGGGACTAAACCACAAACCAAAAAGTACACATGGAGGTACTCATGGCTCCAGCTGCATATGTAGCAGAGGATTGCCTTATCTGACATCAATGGGAGGAAAGTCCCTTAGTCCTGTGGAGGCTTGATGACCCAGTGTAGGGGAATGCTAGAGCACTGAAGTGGGAGTGGGTGAGTGGGTGGGGAGCACCCTCATAGAAGCAGGGGGAGGGGGAGTGATTAACAGGCCCAAAGTGGGACCCAGCTCAAGGAGTGGTCCCAAAGCCTGACACTATTACTGAGGCTATGGAGCACTCACAAAATGGACCTATCATGATGGTACTCCGGAAGACCCAACAAGCAGCTGAAAGAGATACAGATATTTGCACCCAACCAATGGACAGAAGGTGCTGACCCCTGTGGTTGAATTAGGGAAAGGCTGAAAGAAGCTGAGGAGGAGGGGGACTCTGTAGGAGGACCAGCAGTCCCAATTAATCTGGACCCCCGAGGTCTCTCAAACATTGGACCACCAAAAAGGCAGCATACACCAGCTGATATGAGGCCCCCAACACATACACAGCAAAGAACTTCCGGTTCTGTGTTCAACCAGAGATGATGCACCTAACTCTCAAGAGACTGGAGGCCCCAGGGAGTTTAGAGGTCAGGTGGGATGAGGGGAGAGGGGTGGGGACATCCTCGTGGAGACAGGGGGGTAAGTTGGAGGTACGGGATGTGGAACAGTCGGAGGGTGGATGCGGGGGGGGGATAAAATCTGGAGTGTAAAAAAATAAATGAACAAATAATAAAAGAGGAAAATAAGAAAATAAAAGAAAATAAGCAATAAAAATAAAATTGGATTGTGAGTTTTTGAGAAAATAATTTTCTGAATTGATGCTATTGTAGAAAAGTTAGGATAATATATACTATATAGAATTACGTTTTGAAAAATGAATGAGTGAAATTCTGTCTTGAAATTGTTATTTAACTTTGATGCTGTAAAGAGTAACTAAAGGGTGTGGGGAACTACCAGTTAGGGGCCAGGAAATTTAAGTATAGATTCCTGAGTGCTAATTGGATGAACAAAAAAAATCCTATATTTAATCTCTTCCATCACTAAAATTAAAGACACAAATAAGCTTGCTATGTAACTAAATTAGAAACTAATGTACCATTTTACAGTTCTCTGAGTTTTCAGAGAAAATGGGTCCATAGTGATTGGAGGTATTATAACAAAATTAATTTCTTGTTCCCTTTTCTGAATATAGAAAATTCTTTTGAAAATTGTTGTGTAGACAACTTTGAGATGAATATTTAATTTTCAAGAGAATTTATTCATTTCCTAAATATTTCAACTTAATTATTCAATAGCTCAACTATGAATAAAAAGAAACAGCATTTTGGGGGGGCTATACAAAGTCTACTGAAGTTATTTAGTAGTGAGGGGCTTCAAATTTTTACTTAATTTCATTTCTTCTTCAAACATTGAAGTATCAGTAATATCACCTTGTACATTAGTGACCTTATCACTAGACAATTGAAAGACAAAATAATCTTGGTTATTTTGACATTAGACTTGCAGCTTGTAAATGCACCACAATGCAACAATAGCTAATGCTGTACATATAGTACCTCCCTTGATTCATTTATTAAATAAGATATCCATATAATGAGGTCTTGGGAACCAGGCATGGTGGTACAACCATGATCCCAGACCTCAGGAACTTACCTGGAGGCCAGCCTAGGCTATACAGAGAGAACTAAATAAGAACTTATCTCAGACATAAGTAATAGCAATAGTTTTGGAAAGCAATTCAAATAACTGACTAAATGATTTCTAACTGCCAGGAAATAAAAATTATCATTGAACAAAGACTGATTGTTCTTTGTCTTCAAATTCATTCCAGATTATCTCTTTGGTTTGGACATTTTCTGCTCATTTTATAAACAACAAGTAAATATAGGCCATCAAAAAATTAAATTACTAATGGGATCTGGAGTGTGTATGCCGCAGGCCCCAGGTTTTGCACAGACATGCACACACACACACACACACACACACACACATATGCACACACACGTGCATGAGCACATGAACACACCCTATTGATAGCATCTCATTGGTTTTTTTAAGATGTAAATGGACCATCATCGTTTAGCCCTTCCAACTTTAGTTTGATATCATATGGTATATTGCCTCTTAAAAATAATTGTCTGGTATGAATTACATAATTTCCCAGAAAATGAAGATGAGTATAAAATGATGAAAATCCAATTAAGAATTTCATACAAAGTATTTAGGCTGAACTTGGTAGAATGTGTTTCTGATTATTTTGAATTCATGCTTTCAATTGCTATTTACACAAAATTTTTTGGTGCTGGGGAGCTTACTGCATCAAAGGTAGTTCCTCTGCTCCTGTAAGCACTTAAGTGTGGTGATAGCAATGCAACCTCAATGATTAATGATTGAGAACATATCAATAATAAATTCTTGCCTTTCCAGAGTTTCCAAAACAATTTTCAAATTTTGATAAGTTCAATTATTTTTCTCTAAAGAAAATTCGAGATAGATATATCTGGATAATAAAATATGAAAATGGATTTTAAAATAAAATTAACCAAGGAATAATGGTTTGATGGTTTATTATATGAAAGCTGTTGTTTAATTTAACACAAAATAGCCATATTCTCTTGTACTGTTGGACCCCACACATTATTTTTAGTTGTGTAAAATGTAAACTTCCCCAATGTTATTGTTTTTCTCCATTATTAATTTCTATATTTGCACACCATTTAATTACAATGCTGTAGGTAGAATACTGCTGTGGATTGAAAGTGTTCATCCTCAAATAACCCTGCATCAAGACAAATTGAAATAGGAAGGGAGGAACCTGTTGATAGGAAGCAACACAAATACTTGTCCTAAGTCACCCTATTTATGGCAAGTAAGTATTAATAATCAAAGACGAAAATACTTAAAAGCCATTCACCTACACAGTCTGTTGAAAGTTTAATGTGCTCTCATTTACATCCAGGATTTACAAATGAATTTATCCAATTTATCCACGTCTTGCTAAATGTCCGCTCATGCAAAATGAAATCATACTCAAGAACTTACAATGGCTTAGTCCAGGAAAGGTCATTTCTGAAATGTTTTAGTAGCAATTTCGGCTTGTATACAAGAAAATAAAGTCTTAAAATAGCAAATGCAATACTAAAACTAATAAATTAAATGCTACTTTAGTTTGTGTACAAAACATATAAAATATGACAGATGACTGTATCTTATGTTCACACTTCATCAGCTGTAGACAAAGCTGCGTTATCATTCTATGTAATAGGCGTGTGGGGGAGGAAAACACACACATGTACAATGGAGTTGCTTTACTCAGTCATAAAGAAGAATGAAATTATCATTTTCAGGAATAAATGAAACTGCGGATCATCTAGGCTCAATTATCGCATTCTAAAGAACATAAAAGCAAACTGGGCTTTTAGGAAACTGATGGGGAGGAATCGGTGGGATTATAGAAGGTGATTAGTTGTATATTATCATGGTGCGGTATGTACAATACCTCTGAAAATGTCACAGTAAACGCTGTATTTTGCACAGTTAAAACACAGCAATGAAAGTGAAAATCAAAGTGAATACTACCTAGAAAGGTATATGCATAGCGTCAACACGATACAATTTGAAGGGGGTAGATTTCAAAATACAGTCATAAAAGCAGAGGAAGAAATTATTCCTAAGAACGGTATTTCAGATGACCATAGAAACACAACAAAGTTACTTATTCCCTTCTCGAATTAGTGAAAGAAAATAATGCATTAGGATTGAATTGATCAAAAGAAGCTAAAAGCAGCATAGAAATATATTGTCTCAAGGAAAAATTATAGAATGCAAAAGAAAAATAATAACCAAGACACTCATTTTGATTCACTTATAGAATCGTAGGTCTTCCTGACACTGAGGTTTAGCTAGGAGTCCTGAAGGAGACTAGTGGGAATAATGGGGTTCATGAACTTGAAATCTGAGGTCCCAAAGTCCTCAGCCAGACAGACGTCATAATGGTAGCTCTGGGACAGGGTCCCCGTACCGCTGACGTCCACCAGGTGGCCAGGAAAGTGTCCCTCAGGAATAGAGCAATCACCCAGAGAAGCCTCCCTTGCCTTCTTGCACAACCTCACCCCCACAAACAGCAGCACAGACAAGAAGAAAAGTGAAGACACAGAAGCCAAAGCAATAACCAGATAAAGTGTGAGCATGTCTTCTTGCTGTGTGGGGTTGAGCGCCACCTCTGGCAGAGGTAGGTAGGGCTGGGAAAAGCCATCCACCAGCAGCACATGCAACATGACACTGACAGAGCGCGGAGGCTCTCCATTGTCCTTGACTACCAGCACCAGCCTGTGCTTGGGCACATCGCGCTCGCTCAGCAGCCTGGTGGTGCGCACCTCGCCATTGTGCGCCCACACGCTGAACAGCCCGGGTTCAGTGGCCTTCAGCAACTGGAACGACAGCCAGGCATTCTGACCAGAGTCAGAGTCCACTGCCACCACCTTGGTAACCAGGTATCCGGGCTCTGCCGCTCTGGGCAGTAGTTCGGTGCAGGGTGCTGAGGCGTTCTGCATTGGGTAGAGCACGAAGGGCGCGTTGTCATTGTCATCCATCACCACCACGTGCACCAGAGCCTGGCTGCTGAGCGCGGGTGAGCCTCGGTCTGTGGCGCTCACATGGAACTCGAAGGTCTGCAGGGTCTCATAGTCCAGTGCCCTGAGTGCAAACAGTTGACCATTGTCTGAGTTGATGGAGATGAGCGAGGCGAGGGGCAGCTGTGGGTCGTGGGGCGGCAGCAGCGAATAGATAATAAGGCCATTGGAGCCAGAGTCTGGGTCTGTGGCGCTGATGGTGCCTATGTGCAGGGCAGGGCTGTTATTCTCGTGAACAAACAGGGTGTAGGAGGTTTGGGTGAAGGCGGGAGCATTATCGTTGATGTCAGACACCTGCACTGTTATGGTGTGCTGGATTGTGAGCTTGGGTGTGCCCAGATCGGAGACAGTGATGGTGATATTGTACTCAGCTCTGCTCTCTCTGTCCAGAGGTCTCTCCGTCACTAAGGTGTAAAAGTTCTTGAATGTGGGTTTTAAAAGAAATGGAAGTTCATTCTGAATAGAACAAACCATCCTTCCATTTTCCCCAGAATCTGGGTCAGAGACACTGAAAACAGCAACTACAGCCTCAGGAGCATTTTCTGGGATGGAATTAGTGAGAGAAGATATGGTGAGTTTAGGGGCATTGTCGTTCACATCCAACACCTGTATAGCTACAGTGCATTTTCCTGAAAGACCTCCACTGTCTCTGGCTACAATTTCCATGTTATAATATGGAGTTGTCTCAAAATCCAATGCCCCTTTAAGACGAATTTCTCCTGTGGCTTCATCTATTACAAATGGTTGAGATACTCCATTGCCTTGAAACAGAGAATAGGCTACATTGCCATGTATGCCAGCATCT